GTTCCATAGCCTAAGAATGACTTTCTAAATCTTGAGATCATGGAGAAATTCTTTGGTGGAGGTGGTTGAGTCTTCTAACACATATACCCTCCGTTCTGACTAAAGGGGGAGGGTCCCCACGAAATGAGGCGTCTGACACTTGGAGAGGTGGCAAATCCCTAAGAAAGGATATGTTGCCTGATGAGCAATCATAGAAGTTGTTGATTGTTGACCAAAGGCTGAGTAATTTAAGAGGGTGTTTGTTTCAGGTATAAGGGTGGTATAAGAAAAATAGTACGTGGGGGCCTACCTTATACCTTGTTTGTTTGACATTTTTTACTTGATATTAATTTTCGAGTCACAGTACTGACCCGGTGTGAACAGTAACTCTTCTGTCTTGTATATGATGCTAAGCAATACCACCTACCCGATGGTATAAATTTCATGGAGGTATAATAGAGTAAAAAGACCCAAATATCCTCATGTACAATGCCCCATATAAAAGGCAGTTGCAAATTTTGACTTTTTTTAAGGTTACAATTGTCTTTTTACATTGAGTAGTTGTAATTTTTGACTTTTTTAAGTAGGTATTATTTGTGACAAACAAACAATGGAAATGATGAGATTATAGTTGCAGACTGGGTATAATATACCATTGGATCGGAGTAGAATGGATATAAAATCTTATTCCATCTGAATCTTATACCTCAAACAAACAGGCCCTAAAGGGTAACCTTAGAGGTTGCATGGAGGTGAAGTAGCCTAAAGGGCAACTGTAGAGGTTGACTGGAGGAGAAATAGACTAAACCTTTGCATGCGGTAGGAAATATTGTGTCTTGGTGAGTGCTTGCTTCGACTCTGATTATTAGTCGAATAGCTCCTTGTAGTGACCTACTCCCATGTTAGGAAGAATGAGCAGCCTCCTCCTAGTGATCATCACAATGGGCCAAACTCACAGGTTGGATGTTTTCCTATTTGGCGAAGAATCCCTTGGTTGGTCACGAGTCCAACTTGAGGTAGCCATCCCTTAGGCAATTAGGTGTCATGCTCCAAAAAATCTTCTAAATTGGAGGGAGTAATGGTATTGTGTGTTGATAAAATGGAAATAATGATCTTTAAGTTACAAATTTTATTGTCACAGGATTTATAGGACAACTTGAAGGTTGGTGGGATAATTGTTTATATTCATCTCAGCAACAAGAAATTATAAATTCAACAAAAATTGTTTCAATTTAGGATGAACAAATTGTTTCAAACAAGAATATGTCTTGAATGCAGTTTAGACACTGGTCCAATCAATAATTATGCATTTTATTGGAAGTAATATTCAAAATACCGATAAAAGTAAAGAACTCCTCATGGATCTTAGGTTTCCTACACTTACTCATTTTAAGTGGTATAAGGGCATCTATCTCTCCAAAGTCATGATGAGATATGATGCTAATAGTAACTTTTGAAAAGAAAAATTCATTTCAAGTCTTCCTTATTTGTTTGCGGACAAAGTGAGAATAAGATTTAGAAATAAAAATGGAGGAATGATTATTCCTTGGAATTAATACACCTATGGTGAATTAGTCAGCGAATGCAACAATGAAGGTTTGACTTTATACAATGATCTTAACCTTAAAATCCAACTTAAAAGACAACACGTAATAAGAAGAAAAAAGTTAAGTGAATTTTGTGATAATTTTCTTATCATCTTGATCCAAGTCCTTATACAAAAATTAAGTCTAGAAAGATTAAAAAAATACTCCAAATTTAGTAGGAGAAAGAAAAAGAGAAATTATGCGGACAATGTTTATTTTTATATAAAGAAAATCTTTTCAAAAGAAGGCAGAACAAAACTATTATAAGGCTATTCTTGACACGAATGGATTAAGCATAAATGTTCTTTCAAAAAATCAATCATTGATTTTTGATCTAATTGATCAAATTACAGATCCAAAAGCTAAAAGACAAGTTATTGAAAAATATTTAGAAATTTCTAAAGAGAAACAATCAAAAAGAAAATTTGAAAAGTATTCTTTGATTAAACCATTTTCTTTACAAGATATTTTAAATCAATTTAATTTTGTATCTTCTTCAAAGAAAGAGACCACAATTAATGATCGTAAGTACGAGATCAATCAATTAAAATCTGAAAATAGAGATCTTAAAAGAAGAATATCTTCTCTTGAGAATTCTGCACAATCTCAAACTGAAGATCCATAAATTTCAGGAGAATTTTTCATGACCAAATTACATACCAAAAATGGCATATTGAAATTACATTGGTAATCAACCAAGAATATGTTATCAAAACTATTGCACTAATTGATAGTAATGCTTATATGCATTGCATTAAAGAAGGATTGATTCTTACTCAATATTTTTGAAAAAACTACTCAAACTTGGAATACTAGTGATAGTTCAAAAATGAACATCAGATATAAATTAACTAATGTTTATATCTACACTTGAGTGACGTGTATTTCCACATCTTTTATTCTAATTAAAAATCTAAATCAGAATGTAATTTTGGGTACTCTATTTTTTGCTTTTATTGAACCAATTACAATTGATTCTAAATTAACCATTGCTTTTCTAAATAATTAGTAAATTATTTTTGAGTTTATTACTAAACCAAAAACAAATATTTTGAATCAAATCAAATAAAATTTCATTTTCAAAGAAAAATAAATTAATTTTATTCAGCAAGAAGTCAAAATTAAGACTATTGCAAATCAATTAGAAAATCTTAAATTTCAGGATAATCTAAAAAATTTATAAGAACAAATTGTTTCTTGAAATATACAGCATCGTTCCTAATGCATTTTGGGAAAGGAAAAAGCATATTGTATTTCTTGCATTATGAAAAAGACTTTAATGAGAAAAATATTCCCACTAATGCAAGACTAACTCAAATTAATAAAAATTATTTGGAACTCTATAAATAAGAGATCCAATAGTTATTGTAAAAATCTTCAATCAGAAAGAGACATTCTCCTTGGAATAGTGCAAGTTTTTATGTAAATAAAAATACTTAAAAAAAAAAGGGAATACCTCATCTTGTTATTAATTACAAACCCTTAAAGAAGGTTTTACAATGGATAAGATATCCAATTCCAAATAAAAAAGATTTATTAGCTCAAATACATGATGTTATAATCTTTTCTAAATTTGATTTATAATCTAAACTTTGGCAAATTCAAATTGCAGAAATTGATCAATATAAGACTGCATTCACAATTCATTTTGGATATTATGAATGAAATATTATGTCGTTTGGATTGAAAAATGCTCCATCCAAGTTTCAAAATAGCATGAATGAGATATTCACTCCTTATACTGCTTTTTCTATCGTCTATATTGATGATCTTCTTATCTTTTCGAAATCCATTGATCAACATTTTAGACATTTGAATATTTTTATTCAAGTGGTAAAAAGAAATGGATTAGTGGTTTCAGCCACAAAAATGAAACTTTTACAAACAAATATTATTTTTTATTGGACATAATATTCTCAAGTAAAATCCGGAAAAAATTGTTGAAACTGATGCCTCTAATAAAGGTTATGGAGTACTTCTTAAACAAAAGAATCCTCATTCCAATTGCGAAGAATTTGTACGATTTTCATTATGGTGTTTGGAAAAATGCCCAATTAACTTATTCTACAATAAAGAAAGATATTCTTTATGTTGTTAAATGTATTAATAAGTGCCAAGAGAAATTATAAAATTTAAAAAAAAATTATTAAGAATTGATTGTAGTGTCGCAAAAAAAGTTTTAGAAAAAGATGTCAAGAATTTAATATCAAAACAATTATTTGAAAGGTGTCAAGCCATCCTTTCTATTTATGATTTCAAGATTGAGTATAACAAAGATGAATTAAATTCTCTTCTTGACTTCCTAACAAGGGAAATTTTGCAAGGCTCCAATGAGTGCCAAAAGAGGATGAGGCAGAGGAACTAATAGTTCCCAATCTAAATCCAAAGGAAGGGGAATTGTCCTCTTTGTAATAAACCATTTCCAACGCTGAGTTTAGCTCAATTTGGCTCTAATGCTTCTTCTTCACGGGCAACGCCTAACAATCAAAAATGGACTTCTACTAAATGGAAGAAGTCTGCCTAGGAGGGTCTCTTAGAAAAACTCGATCTAATGGTTGATTATTTTGAAAATCCTTATACTAATATTATTTTATACCTGAAAAGTACACAGGTTTAATGAATGAAAGATCATTTCTACTTAGTAAAACATATTTTTGACCATGATCAGTTCCTTATTAAAGGAAAAAAGTATCGTAATCGAATTTATTATGAAAAGATTCTATATGAAACCAAATCAATCAAAGTCGCTCATAATGTTCTCAATGAGGATCATTATACTGGTTATGATAAAGTAAGAATTATGTGTGTCATACACACTTCTGATTAGGGAACAAACCCCATCAATTTCTGAAATTTGAAAACCAAACATGGACTAGGAGAAGAATATAATTATTGGGATTATATGGATGCATGGGAGAATGCATTCCTTTATCAAAATACAATCAAAAAATATTCTTGGTTTTTCTTCTTCTCCTTACAGAATAATTATACCATTAAGAACCTGCCAAATTGGTTTCACAAATGGATGAAAAGACATGGACCAACTTCTCAATATTTGGTTGACTTTCCTGTTTCTCATCATGATAAATTCAAAAAACTCAATCCTTAATTGAGAAATGGTGAACGACAAATGCTCCTTAATTATCTTGCTAGATTCGAGATTCACTGGGTTTGGAATGGACTTATGATTGTAATTATGATTTCTACAATATTCCATGTTTAATTCGATGTTATTATTATAAATGGTGGAAAAACCTTCTACAAGATCAATTGAAAAAAAAATGTCAAGAAATTAACACTGCTTTTGAAAATTGGAAAAATGAATCCCAACATGTTCCAAAAAATTTGAATCCTATTCAAAATTTTTTCCAAATTCTCCAAGAACAAATAAAGAAATTGAATCAAGCATTGACTACACAAAAGCTTAAGAGTCATATGATGGAAATGATGCAAAATCAGTTAATTGCATCTTCTAAGGGGGATAATAAGCCACAAATTCCTCAAATCACAGCTGGACCAACAAGACATCAATTTCACTCTTCTTCATCTAAAGAAAAGAAAATTAAAGAAGATGATCAGGATGATTCCCAGGATCCAATGGATTTTAATGACAATGAGGACATGGAAATGCATCTTGGAGCATTCCATAATTTAGAAGGCTTGGACTTTGAAATGTCTGATTTAATGAACATTAATCAAATTAATCATGGCAAAAAGAAGAAATAATTAATGGATCTTTCCAGTCTTAATTGAAGAATGTGTCATCCGTAATGTATCTCCTTTGAAGATCAAGCAGAAGAATAATTGCTCTAGCAACACCAACAGCCACATCTAAGTCTTCTATGAATGAATTGCTAGCATGAATATCCCTCCATCTAGCTTTTAGTTGCTGCTACCAGAGAGGGACCCCCTACATATTTTCCAATTCCCTCTCAACAGCAGGGGTACCAATCGACATCTTTCTTTTCTTGTAACATGTTTTCTCCAAACAAGTTCAATTATAGAAGTAGAGTCATCAACATAGTCCTTAGGCTCTTGTAGCTCAACTTACTCAAGGGAAGGTACAATAACTATTTTTTTGGGGATTTCTCCCAGAATTGTTAAAATAGGGGTGAGCTCGGAGCCCAAAGTTTCAACAAAAGAATTCAAAATTGGAGTAGCCTCTGGTATTGCTCCAAAGCCCAAGGCTTCCCCAGGATTGGGGTTTAGGACCAAATCAATGAAATTGGTTGCAACCCTTCCTCTTCCCATTCCTTTTCTTCTGGGGCTTCTTAGGGGATTAGATGATGGTGCTTCCAAAGCTCGAGCAGCTCTGCACCCTTTAAGTAGTTGAGAGGTAATAGAAGGAACATTAGTATAGGAATGGTAAGTCAGCTCATACCCCAATAAGACGTGAGCAGCTCGACACCATATACTATTTGCCCTAAATAACTAGAACTTTCTTAGATCATCAAAGTTCACCTTGGATTCAAGAACTTTTCGCTTAAAAGTTTCTCTTACAAAAAGATCTAGACATTAGAGGAAGCAAGAATCAAACGAAAAAATAGAAGCTAAAAGCAAAACAGGATAGGGCCCCGATGAAAATCACCCGGGATAGCCTCTTAATACAGACAATTGTAGCGAGGTTCCTCGCCTACTCGATGTTCCTAGTTACCAAATATAAACATGACATCATTTTTATAGCCCTTATTTGAATCAAGAAGATGAGTGACTAAGTAAAAATTTGTTCTCCTAACCCTAAGGTAGTAGTTCTTTTTTGAAGTGGTTGTAATGAGATAGCAATATTCCAAAGGCTCAGATTGGTTCCTAGAATGTCATTCAAAGCCACGACCCCTATTACTATTTGGAAAAAATTGGAACAACATTGAATTGGGTAAATCTTCAATGCATGAAGCACCCATAGAAAAAAAGGGTGGAGTTGAAACTGAGCCCCACCCTTCATAATGGTCCTAGTGGGGATGGGAATTGATTTCCTAGAAGCAATTATGGGTTTATTTTTTGTGATCCTAATGACTACATCATCTGGAATAGAATATCTAGACCTGAAATCTGGAATTTTCTCTTCCCTTATGGAGCCATAAAGAAAAAAAAAAGAATATCGGAAGGGATTGAAGCAAAGAAGAAGAACAAGAAATGACTTAGAAATTCAGAAGAGTGGAGTACCTAAAGGTTTCAAAAATTATGGTGAAAATGTAAAAGTGAAGAAGAAGACGCTTTAATTAAAAGCGAAGATGACTTATTTAATACGAATGACTGTTAAACTATTGAAAGGACACAAGAAATGGCCTTTTTGAAGGGATCGATGCAAAGCCATTAATGAAAAAAATATGATTACAAATAGGGAATGCTTCCCCCGTGTGCCACGTGGAGAACATTCTCTAGGGGCTAGTGAAGAGAGTCAGAACTTTTGACCTATGATATGACAACCATACTAAGTCAAGTGACAGAGTTACGTCCTTGAAACAATTAAATAGATCAGTCATGACCGAACTCAATTAATTATGCTTAGTCAAACATGATAAGCTTGGCAGAGGCTCGGTACAATGTGCAAAGAGAAAAAGACCTAGTAAAGGCTAGAGTTCGAGTGAGGAGCAAGCCTAATCTGAAAAGGCAAATAATTCATTGAGCTGGCATCAGGAACATATTGGTGATCAAGTTATCCCTCAGAAATAGTATAAGACAATCAATCAAGGGATTGCCTAAATTAGAGGAGCACATTGGAAACACGTGATCTAAAAAGACGACAAATACGAAAAAAAGCTAGGAGAGGACCCAACAAATTAATTCGACTAACCTATAGGTGTGTCACCTAGTATAGCTAATGGTGAAAACCCTAATAGAAAAGGTGTCATGAGATACTACAAAAACTGAGTAATACTTAAGTCTAATCCCCTGTTTGGTTGGAGGGAAAATAGGGAGGATGAAAAATGGAGGAAGGGAAGTGGGAGGGAAGGAAAATCTTTCCATTGTTTGGTATGGAGGAAAAATGGGAGGGAATGGAAAATGGAAGGGAAATGCATTCCCTTATGGTCTGTTTGTTTTTATGGAAAATGGGGTGGATGGAAAATGGGATGGATGGAAAAACTTTCCATTGTTTGGTATGGAATGAAAGAGTGATGGAAAGGAAAATTGGAGGGAAGGCTTTTCCTTCCCACCCACAATTTATTTTTCCCCCAAAAATGGGTGGAAAAGGAGAACAAGACAACAAAATTTGACCTTTAAATGATAATTTTACTATTTTACCCTTTGTTACCTTCTAATAAAACCCACTTCTAAATACATCAAACAAAACCCACTTCTTCTCCATGGCCAATGACAAACCCTTCTCAGACAACAGCAACCAGATGACGAACTCGATCAATGAAACCAACGATTTTCGGACTGGATTTTTGGCTACTTCAGACCAAAGTTGTCATCCTCCGGCAGGTTTGGTATGTTCCTTTTTTCATTTAACTTTATCCTGTAACTGTAAGACTAAGAATGTTTTCTTTCATCAAGGCCTCTTTTGGACTTGTGATATATATATGTGAAACATATTGGCTTATACAAGATGAAATTATACATATGGGTGTATATATGTGGGTATGTTTATATGCGTATTTGGATATGTAGGTCTTTCAAATGGGTTTTGTATCTCTTAAAGAAATTAACAAAAAAAAATTTAAGAAATGAAATCAGGTAGAAGAAGATGAAAGAAGAATTTTAGGGCAAAAAAAAAAAAAGAAGAAGAAGAAGAGCATAACTTGAGCGTCAGATTGAAGAAGATGAAGTTGTTGGCTTAAATTCAGAATCTCCCCCCTTTAGTTTTAGATACAACACATACCTACTCAGTGAAATTATAAAGTTAAGTCCAAGGTTTTGTTAAGTTACAAAAAAACCATTTTTTGTGTTTCATGAGTAACAGATAAAAACTTGTTGAAATTACACAATGACCCCAGAAGATAATAAAACACTAAATCAGTATTTTTAATAGTTAAAAAATGTTTTTGAAATTGTATATTGACCCCAAATAGTTATGAGATTGTTTTAGAGATTATAAAATTACACCATATCGCTAGATAATGTGTTTAGAAATTATCTAAAGACCATGAAAGTTTCTAAAACTCAAAATATAGAGGCTATCATAAATTGTTAGCTCTTTAGGAGTATATTCCTAGGCGATATATATATATATAAATTGTAAACTCTTTTTGGTTCAATACATACATATATATATATATATATATATATATATATATATATATATATATATAAATTGTAAACTCTTTTTGGTTCAATACCATTTTAACTATTGTTGTTGTTCAATACTTAATTCCATTTGTTGGTTTTTTATACCTATTTTGTTTTGTCTGTTGTGTTATTACTTCACCAGCATTCATTTTTATTCCTGATTCTTAGCACCAATGTCCATTTGTTGATTATTTCGCGTTCAAATTCAATATTTAATTTTTTTAGTTGCACTGTGTCTTCAAGCACGGGTTATCTCTAGTATATATATATATGGAATAGCGTATATTTGCCCAGTCTTAGCAAGAGATTGTAAGATTTTTTGTTTGGTATATTTATCAAATGTTAGATTAAACTATAATATTGCATACTTTGGGTAATCGGTTTGGATTTGAGTCTTTGACATTATTGGTACCTTACTAGAAGTTTCAAGTAATTATGTGCTTTGTTGATATTGTGATGAGTTGATTTGTGAAGTTCATGTCTATTAATTACTTGGGTATTGATTTGTGAAGTTCATGGCTATTACCTTCCTAGACGTTTCAAGTAATTTTTTTTTTTTTGTTTATGTTGGATTACTGTTATCTATGGTTTTGTTGAGAAGGCTTATTGGATTTTTGCAAAGAAAATTGCAATTGGTCTGCATTCTTGCCTAGTTTATCCATACTAACTTTTCTAAAGTAATTGGTTGTGGGTATTCTTGGATTAACTGGTACTTTTACATTGCTATGGTGCACTGTCTTGGTGACTAGTTTCTTTGGATTTTTTGATGTCCTAGACTTGGAGAAAGAAAAAGACAATTGATATACAAGACCTTGCCCAATTGAGAGCTAAAACATATTGGACAATTGCCGAAATGTGATAATTAAAAATCAATTTTTGAACTGCCAAATTGCCTACAAAAAATTCTTTGTCTCTTCTGTCATCAAAATTTTCTTCTAATTCCTTCATTTCAATCAACAAAAATTGTACTCACCACCACAAATAATAATGATGTGCATCCCAAAACTATTTTCATATTTTGTATCTTAATTCGATGTAGATGGTTGAATCAGATAAATTCATACACTCTAGTACTAGTCTTGTAACAAATTTTTTTCTACAATTTTAAACCTTACCATAGAATTGTGAGATTTTAGGAATTCTTGCTGACTAATTGTTGTTTTGTTACCATGCATTTAGTATATGGATAGGGAAGAGAGTTGGGATGGAAACTTGGAAGAAAATGGGGAAGATATTTGGGAGGATAATCTTATGCAAATTTTAAATATTTGGGAACATAGGCAACGCATAGTTGCGGTTCAAGTTGTTTGCTATTTGGTTCATGTACTCTACTTGATTGGAATGTCATGCCACACCTCGTATGTAGATCGATCAATTACCCAAAATAGTGGAGAAAGATAGAGTGTAAGGCAAGAACTCATGACACAACTAACTCGTAATGAACATTGTCGTGACATTACCTGCATGAGCCCACATGCTTTTGCTAAGTTATGTGAGTTACTCAGATGCACTAGTCGTCTCCATGATAATAAGAACGCTCTTGTTGAGGAATAAGTGGTTAAGTTTCTTTATTTACTTGCACATAAGGTGACAAATCGGGAAATGCAACTATTTTTTCGTCGATCTGGTGCGACAGTAAGTCTAAACTTCCATGATGTGTTAAGAGCTATCATTACTTTGGAAGATCAATTCTAAAACAACCTATCGGTTCAGAGGTCCCTCTCCAAATTATAAATAATAATAGATTTTTTTCGTACTTTAAGGTGAATATAATATTTTCCCCTTTTCCTTTCGTACTTCAAGGTGAAAAATTGCATGAAAACTCTCAAGAGTAATTTTTTTGCATGTCATGAAATTTTCAATGGCTTAACAGTGAGTGGGTTTGCATGGAATCCGAAGACACAACTATGGGAATCGGAGGATGAAGTGTGGAAAGGGCTTATACAGGTATATTATTAACTATTTAGTAATTTTAATATGGTTACAGATATATAAATTTTCTATGTTTGTTATTGTTTTTTCTCATAGATGCATTTGTTATTTTTGTTCTCATATATGCATTTGATTTTTGTTATAGGCTAAACTAAGTGCCGCAAAATGGAG